AAAAGTGTCTAAACGCTTTTTGGAGATTCCCAGATGACATTTATACATGTCAAAAAGTCCCCAGAAGCTATTTAAGCGTTTCTTTAGTTACCCAGATGGTTCTATGAATGTCTAAAGTTTTCAAAAAGTGTCTAAACGCTTTTTGAACATTTTTGAAGTTGTCTAAATGACACTTAAGTGTGTCAAAATGCCTCTAGACGTTTATTATAGATTTAGTTGGTTATTTAAGCATTTCTAAATGTTTTCATGATTATTAAAAAGTGTCTAAACGCTTTTTGGAGATTCCCAGATGACATTTATACATGTCAAAAAGTCCCCAGAAGCTATTTAAGCGTTTCTTTAGTTACCCAGGCGGTTTTATGAATGTCTAAAGTTTTCAAAAAGTGTCTAAACGCTTTTTGGACATTTTTGAAGATGTCTAAAGGACACTTAAGTATGTCAAAATGTCTCTGGACGCTTATTATTGATTTAGTAGGTTATTTAAGCATTACCAAATGTTTCCATGATTATTAAAAAGTGTCTAAACGCTTTTTGGAGATTCCCAGATGACATTTATACATGTCAAAAAGTCCCCGAAAGCTATTTAAGCGTTTCTTTAGTTATCCAGATGGTTCTATGAATGTCTAAAGTTTTCAAAAAGTGTCTAAACGCTTTTTGGGCATTTTTGAAGTTGTCTAAATGACATTTAAGTATGTCAAAATGATTCTAGTCGTCTAAAATCGTGTGTAGGATACTTAAAAATTTTTATTTTTTGTTCTGCTATATTATAATCCTCGCCCAAACTCCATTTATAATATATTTGGAATAAATTCGTTCTTGGAGAATTTAATTTATTATTATTATTATTTCCTAGAAGCGCCATCTATGATTTAAACACCGAAATGGTAAAAAGAAATTACAGGAATCTTTTTCTTTGCAGGAAAAATGACAGGTGAAAGTAAACATCGTAAAAAAAGGAGATAGAAGTTAATGTAACCCGAAAATTAAACGAAATATATCCCTGAAAATCCCTGAAACGCGTCCTAACCTCGTTTCGAATCAAAACAAAACCAGCTGACATCAGCAAACATCAAAATAACGAAAAACGTCAATTAGTTTCTCATAAAATCGGGTCGTTGTTGTTGTTTGGTGCTCTTTTTGTGCGAAAGATCGCCCGCAAATGATCCGTAAGTACCTAATAATAAATTAATTAAACGAATTAATGATACAGCGCGGTTTGTTTAGGGGTGTGCGATTCGAACAGGATGTAAAATCCAGAAAAATCATGGATAAAAAAATTCATTGCGGCGGTTTTGACTTCTTTTGCAACTTTGATTCTGCAAATCTCGCCAAAGTCGATCTTGTCCCAACCAGTGAAACTGGTGAGTTATCCCATTTCAAAGCTTTTTAACTTTAATCAATCTGTATTGATCATTTTTAGTAATTACAACTGCTGCAGCCAATGTGGGAAAAGGATATATCCCTGAGATTCCTGATGTTGAATTCAACCTTTGGACTAAACATGATTGTTGTGGGACTCAATTTGAGAATCCTAATAGGACGTGGTTTTATTTTGGAATGAGAGGTACTTAATTTTTTATTATTAAATTAATTTTGGTGTTTATGTGGCAAATTCGACGCGCGTGTATATTGGGTTGCCTATGTTTCGTTACTTTGTTTTGTTGATTTATAAAGATTTATAAAAGTCGTGTTTATTGAAATTAAGGAATGAAACTTGTTTTAAATTAAAGCTTAAAGCTTTCTCTTTAAAATGATGTGTAATAATCGTTGGGTTGGATTGGAAAAATATTGAGAAAAATTTTATTAAAAATTCGTTGAAACTAAAAAAATCGTGAAAAATCGGCTTCTTGGAAAATGTTTATGAAATTTTCACCAATTACCAATTAAAGTATCCTCTTTTTAATGCAAAAAGCCGTTTTGGAAAATCTCTTTTAATTTTTGAGATATTAATTTTCTAACTCAATCGATTTTATTAAAAATTCGTTGAAACTTAAAAAAATCGTGAAAAATCGGCTTCTTGGAAAATGTTTATGAAATTTTCACCAATTACCATTTAAATTATCCTCTTTTTAATGCAAAAAGCCGTTTTGGAAAATCTCTTTTAGTTTTTGAGATATTAATTTTTTAACTCAATCGATTTTATTAAAAATTCGTTGAAACTTAAAAAATCTTGAAAAATGGATTTCTTGGAAAATGTTTATGAAATTTTCACCAATTACCTGTTAAAGTATCCTCTTTTTAATGCAAAAAGCCGTTTTGGAAAATCTCTTTTAATTTTTGAGATATTAATTTTTTAACTCAATCGATTTTATTAAAAATTCGTTGAAACTTAAAAAATCGTGAAAAATCGATTTCTTGGAAAATGTTTATGAAATTTTCACCAATTACCAATTAAAGTATCGTCTTTTTAATGCAACAAGCCGTTTTGGAAAATCTCTTTTAGTTTTTGAGATATTAATTTTTTAACTCAATCGATTTTATTAAAAATTCGTTGAAACTTAAAAAATCGTGAAAAATCGATTTCTTGGAAAATGTTTATGAAATTTTCACCAATTATCAAGTAAAGTATGCGCTTTCCAATAAAGAAAGCCGCTTTGGAAAATCTCTTTTAGTTTTTGAGATATTATTTTTTTAACTTAATCGATTTTATTAAAAATTCGTTGAAACTAAAAAAATCGTGAAAAATCGGCTTCTTGGAAAATGTTTATGAAATTTTCACCAATTATCAAGTAAAGTATGCGCTTTGCAATAAAGAAAGCCGCTTTGGAAAATCACTTTTAGTTTTTGAGACATTAATTTTTTAACTCAATCGATTTTATTAAAAATTCGTTGAAACTTAAAAAATCGTGAAAAATCGATATCTTGGAAAATGTTTATGAAATTTTCACCAATTATCAAGTAAAGTATGCGCTTTCCAATAAAGAAAGCCGCTTTGGAAAATCTCTTTTAGTTTTTGAGATATTAATTTTTTAACTCAATCGATTTTATTAAAAATTCGTTGAAACTTAAAAAATCGTGAAAAATCGATTTCTTGGAAAATGTTTATGAAATTTTCACCAATTATCAAGTAAAGTATGCGCTTTCCAATAAAGAAAGCCGCTTTGGAAAATCTCTTTTAGTTTTTGAGATATTAATTTTTTAACTCAATCGATTTTATTAAAAATTCGTTGAAACTAAAAAAATCGTGAAAAATCGGTTTCTTGGAAAATGTTTATGAAATTTTCACCAATTACCAAGTAAAGTATGGGCTTTCCAATAAAAAAAGCCATTTTGGAAAATCTCTTTTAGTTTTTGAGATATTAATTTTTTAACGCAATCGATTTTATTAAAAATTCGTTGAAACTTAAAAAATCGTGAAAAATCGGTTTCTTGGAAAATGTTTATGAAATTTTCACCAATTACCAAGTAAAGTATGCGCTTTCCAATAAAGAAAGCCGCTTTGGAAAATCTCTTTTAGTTTTTGAGATATTAATTTTTTAACTCAATCAATATTATTAAAAATTCGTTGAAACTAAAAAAATCGTGAAAAATCGATTTCTTGGAAAATGTTTATGAAATTTTCACCAATTACCAATTAAAGTATCCTCTTTCTAATGCAAAAAGCCGTTTTGGAAAATCTCTTAGTTTTTGAGATATTAATTTTTTAACGCAATCGATTTTATTAAAAATTCGTTGAAACTTAAAAAATCGTGAAACATCGGTTTCTTGGAAAATGTTTATGAAATTTTCACCAATTACCAAGTAAAGTATGCGCTTTCCAATAAAAAAAGCCATTTTGGAAAATCTCTTTTAGGTTTTGAGATATTAATTTTTTAACGCAATCGATTTTATTAAAAATTCGTTGAAACTTAAAAAATCGTGAAAAATCGGCTTCTTGGAAAATGTTTATGAAATTTTCACCAATTATCAACTAAAGTATGCGCTTTCCAATAAAGAAAGCCGCTTTGGAAAATCTCTTTTAGTTTTTGAGATATTAATTTTTTAACTCAATCGATTTTATTAAAAATTCGTTGAAACTTAAAAAATCGTGAAAAATCGATTTCTTGGAAAATGTTTATGAAATTTTCACCAATTACCAAGTAAAGTATGCGCTTTCCAATAAAGAAAGCCGCTTTGGAAAATCTCTTTTAGTTTTTGAGATATTAATTTTTTAACTNCTACTAGAAACTAATGGTACCATTCGGGAATCGGAGCATGATACAAAAAAACTTTTAGAACAAAAGTGGTAGTAAATTTTATTCTTACCAATATTGCTCTCTTCTACTCTTGCTCTCAGATGCGTCAATATTAAGAAAAATAAGAAAATATGAAAATTTGATGAATTCGTTGTTCTACTAGAAACTAATGGTACCATTCGGGAATCGGAGCATGATACAAAAAAACTTTTAGAACAAAAGTGGTAGTAAATTTTATTCTTACCAATATTGCTCTCTTCTACTCTTGCTCTCAGATGCGTCAATATTAAGAAAAATAAGAAAATATGAAAATTTGATGAATTCGTTGTTCTACTAGAAACTAATGGTACCATTCGGGAATCGGAGCATGATACAAAAAAACTTTTAGAACAAAAGTGGTAGTAAATTTTATTCTTACCAATATTGCTCTGTCCTACTCTTGCTCTCAGATGCGTCAATATTAAGAAAATTGCGAAAATACGAAAATTTGAAGAATTCGTTGTTTTACTAGTAATTATTGGTCGCATTTGGGAATCGGAGCATGTTACAAAAAAACTTTTAGAACAAAAGTTGTAGCAAATTTGATTGTCACCAATATTGCTCTCTTCTACTCTTGCTCTCAGATGCGTCAATATTGAGCAAAATAAGAAAATATGAAAATTTTATGTTTCGTTGTTTTACTAGTACTAATGGTAGCATTCGGGAATCGGAGCATGTTACAAAAAAACTTTTAGAACAAAAGTTGTAGCAAATTTTATTCTTACCAATATTGCTCTCTTCTACTCTTGCTCTCAGATGCGTCAATATTAAGCAAAATAAGAAAATATGAAAATTTGATGAATTCGTTGTTTTACCAGAAATTAATGGTACCATTCGGGAATCGAAGCATGATACAAAAAAACTTTTAGAACAAAAGTTGTAGCAAATTTGATTCTTACCAATATTGCCCTCTTCTACTCTTGCTCTCAGATGCATCAATATTGAGAAAATTGCGAAAATCTAAAAATTTGAATAATTCGTTGTTTTATTAGTAATTAATGGTAGCATTCGGGAATCGGAGCATGTTACAAAAAAACTTTTAGAACAAAAGTTGTAGCAAATTTTATTCTTACCAATATTGCTCTGTTGTATTTTTGCTCTCAGATGCGTCAATATTGAAGAAAATGCGAAAATATGAAAATTTGAAGAATTCGTTGTTTTACTACAAGGTAATGGGTAGCACTCGAAAATTGGAGCATGATACAAAAAAACTTTTTGCACAAAAGTTGTTGCAAATTTTATTGTCACTAATATTGCTCTTTTCTACTTTTGCTCTCAGATGCGTCAATGTTGAGAAAAATACAAAAATATGAAAATTTAATGTTTTTCGTTGTTTTACTAGTAGTTAATGGTACCATTCGGGAATCGGAGCATGATACAAAAAAACTTTTAGAACAAAAGTGGTAGCAAATTTTATTCTTACCAATATTGCTCTCTCCTACTCTTGCTCTCAGATGCGTCAATATTAAGAAAAATAAGAAAATATGAAAATTTGATGAATTCGTTGTTTTACTAGTAATTAATGGTACTATTCGGGAATCGAAGCATGATACAAAAAAACTTTTAGAACAAAAGTTGTAGCAAATTTTATTCTTACCAATATTGCTCTCTTCTACTCTTGCTCTCAGATGTATCAATACTGAGAAAATTGCGAAAATATGAAAATTTGATGTTTTACGTTGTTTTACTAGTAGTTAATGGTAGCACTCGGGAATCGGAGCATGTTACAAAAAAACTTTTAAAACAAAAGTTGTAGCAAATTTTATTCTTACCAATATTGCTCTATTGTATTTTTGCTCTCAGATGCGTTAATATTGAGAAAAATACAAATGTATGAAAATTTAATGTTTTTCGTTGTTTTATTAGTAGTTAATGATAGCACTCGGAAATCGGAGCATGACACAAAAAAAACTTTTAGAACAAAAGTTGTAGCAAATTTTATTCTTACCAATATTGCTCTGTTTTATTTTTGCGCTCAGATGCGTCAATATTGAGAAAAATGCGAAAATATGAAAATTTGAATTCTGCTGGCCAGATCTCAGCGTTGGATCACCAAATCGCAAATGGTCCAAACTATATTTACTTTCAAAGAGGAAATTCTCACACGTTTTGAAAATATTGAAATAGGATAGCTAAAAAAATAGAATGCAGAAACAACTTCGAAGGCTGCTGGATTTGTTAAATGACTCGAAGATAATTGCTTTTTGTTTTGGCTGATTTGTTTTGCCAAAGTTATGCCACATGTTGATATTTTGTACAACCAGTTGCAAAAAATTCAATTAGATGCCCTAAAAGTCCAGATTGCAGTAGAACATTTTAAAGAAGTAATCGAAAATATGCGACCAAATTTACCACCTCTTGAAGATAG